CCCTCGTCCTCCTGTTCCTCCTCCCTCCACCTTCGTTCCCTCTTCTTCCTCTAAGCTCCACCTTCGTCCTCCCTCCACCTTCATCCTCCTGTTCCTCCTCTCTCTACCTTCGTCCTCCTCGTTCGTTCTCCCTCCACCTTCGACCTCCTGTCCCTCCTCCCTCCAGTTTTCTCTGCCCTCCACCTTCGTCGTCCTCTTCCCTCCTCCGTCCAGCTCGTCCTCCCTCTTTCTCCCTCCTACCCATGTCCTCCCCGCTTCCTCTTCCCTCCGCCTTTATCCTCGCTCGACCTCCCTCCTACTTCCTCCTCCCTCATTGTCAAGTTGCATTGTTTTCTTTGTTTAAATCGAAGATGATCTACTCGTTCAAGTTATCCTCCCCCCTCCTCCTCCTCCTCCTCCTCCTTCCTCCTTCCTCCTTCCTCCTCATCTCCGCTTGTCGTACTTCCTCCTCCTCTCTCCTCTGTTGCGTGCCACTTGGCACACCGGCGGCCCTGCAGAAAGCCTCCCCCACAGGCCCTCGCCCCCTCCCAGCCAAACACAGACTTCACGTTTTCAACATTTAACGCTGGATTCTGCATGCTGTCGACGAGCGCAGAACGGCCCTGAAGTCCAAAAAGAAAAAAAAGAAAAAAATCCCGGGCACTTAGCAGCAGCCCACCTGGGTCACCCTGGCGGACCTCGGGCCTGCTGCCGGCCTGCCCAGCCAGGAGTGCGACTTCCTACTGTCTTCCCCCGAATACAACGTACGGTCATTATAGCTGAATTTAGACTGAAAGATACCCCAAATTCAGCTATAATGACCGTACGTTGTATTCGGGGGAAGACTGTAGCACAAGTGTGCAAGCAAAAGGCGTGCCGCGACCGCGGCAGAAAATGCAATGCCAGGCGTCCACATTATTGTCGTGACGCTGTGTCGTTACGTTGCTTGTTTGATTGTGGGTTTGTGGAGGGAGAAAAGCGAGACTTGGAAATAAGAATCTGAGGGAGAGGAAGGAATTTCGTATTTTGAGACACAATTGATTACCACCACATGGATAGGAATGAGTAAAGATGAGATGCATACAATATAGAATGGGCAGTGGAAATTGACATGCTTTCTGTTCGTATGGAGTGGTATGTCTCTGTCTACATATAAGTACAGATACAGTTGGTCTGTTCCTTTTCTCCCGCCTCTCTCTCTCTCTCTCTCTCTCTCGTGACTACGGCATGGATATGACACAACAAAGATGACATGTGTACAGTACAGAATGCATATCAAGACTGTGGGAATCGGCAGTTATGATTGACACACTCTTTGCACTCTTGTGTCTTTTTCTCTCTACATAGACACACACATAGACTCGATGATGTGTCTCAATGTCATATACAGACATATAGATTTGATCTGTCTCTGTGTTTTTCTTCGTTGCCTGTCTCTCTCTCCCTCCCTCTCTCTCTAAACCCTAAAACCAAAACAGAAGAACGGTCGCCCGACGCCGGAAGGGGAAGGGGGGGGGGGGAGGGTCGTCTTGCCCTAGGACTTCAACTGCACAGCATCATATCCCCACAGTCACACAATCATCCTGACCGTCCACGTCTTGTCTCTTATCTCTTTCCTTCTGTCTCCCCTTTTGTCTCCTTTCTGTTTTACTCTCTACGAACACTCGTCCCACGTGATCTCCCCTCCATCCCTTGTCTCCCAATCGATCTTCCTTTGGTTATCTCTGTACTCTCTCTTCTGCACCAACCTTTCTGTTCAATGTTGTTGTGCTTGAAAGCGCACTTCGATAAGATGAAGATGAACCCTCAATCTCCTCTCCGCCCCCTCCTCACCCCCGGCAGATCCGGGGCCAGACAGCTATGTAGCGTCGCACAACTACAAACAAACATATTGTTGCAAATGTATATATCGTCAAACAGAACTGCCCGGTAAACCGTAGGTCGAGAGAGAGGAAGAAGAGGACAGCAAACGAGGGGCTGTGACAGGATTTTTCATTGGAGTTTCACCGACTCATCAGAAGGCCGAACCCTCCACAGTCTGCAGAGTCCCCTAACCCATGGATGATACTGAAAGTGATAATCCAATCCACCTTAACCCCAGTCGTGGTTAAGCATCAGCGACTGCCCGACAACTGATACATACCATGCATGAGGTAGTGGGAATCATCAACCACTGCCCTCAAGGTACCGGTAAGGACAGTCAAAGCAGACTACCACTCACCCACACCAGATGGAATGTAGATGTATGTATATATGTATACTACATCGAGTTGCACTCTCCTCCTCTTCTTCTTCTTCTTCCCCGACATTCTTCCCTTCCCCGTTTTCATCATCCGTGCATAAGACTACATATATGTGCTTATGCTTTACTCTTCCCCATGTTGCTTTCATGTGGGACTAGTCATCCGGGTTCTTTTTTTTATTTTAACATCCTGGTTGGTTGATTCCCGTTGTTCGGCCTGTGTATTTGGGGGCGGTGCTTTATGTGGGAATCGTCATCTGGGATTGTCTTTTATGTTTTGTTCTACCTTTCTTTGCTTTGCTCCTCCCCATTTTTGGGGTATTTCGTTTTGCGGACCTACTGTATGGATCCGTCTTTTTACTATGGTTATGGCAGAATTTGTTTTGGTAATTTTGGCACCCTTGTCTGCATCCCGGTTGGTTTCGTCCCGTTTGGTAATTTTGGCACCCTTGTCTGCATCCCGGTTGGTTTCGTCCCGTTGTTCGGCTTACAGTAGGGTGTCCGTGGCGGCGATTTCATGTGGGACCTGTTATCCGGGTTTTTTGGCATCCTAGTTGGCTGTTCACCCGTTGTTCGGCCTTGGTGCGATGGGGCGGTCCTTTTCTGTGGGAATCGTCATCTGGGATTGCCTTTTTTTGTGTTTTTTTTTGCCGTTGGTGGCGTCCCGGTATTTTAGTTTAGAACAGCGAAGCAGTAGAAAGCAGTAGAAAGATTAAAACGATACCACAGTTTTTGCAACAAATAACAATCGCAAAGGATTCTTGGAGTTGACGCAGAGTCGCTGGTGAGTACGAAAGGTTTTGTTATCTGGGATTTTGTTTGTTTGCAGGCAAGGGAATTGATTGACATCCTGGTTGGTCTTGTCCCGTTGTTTGGGCTGTGACGAAGGGGGGAGGGGGGGGGTGCTTGCATGTGGGACTTGTCATCTAGGATCTGTTTATGTTTGTTTCCCCCTGTTTTGTTATATTTGGCTGTTCCCTTCCTCTTTCTTTGCCTCTTTGCCTTTGGGCTGTGTGCAAATGGCTCGATATGACACACGGGGGTGGGGGCAGCCGCCGCTCAACCTACATCCACGTGGGCGGCCTTGTACGCAAGAGGAGGTTCTGAACAGGGGGAGTTATAAGGAAGAAGATAAAAAAAACGAATTCAGTTTTTCCTTGTTTTCTTTCTTTTTCTTTTTTTCGTTTTTGCGCTCTGATATTCTTGTGACAATATATAATCCCCATGTGTGTGATCGTTCGTCTTTGTACGTCCCCTCCGTGCATCTCGACGTGTGATGATCTATGTGTATGTTGAGTCACGAGTCTGATGAGTCGGATTGTTATCGTTCAGTGTTCCGCTGCTTTGCATTGTTGTTTCTCCTCACTTTGGTGATTACTTTGTCCTGCCTCATCTTTCGATTCTCCTAGGCATGTGACACCTGGCCTCCTTCCGCAGGGTTCTCATGAGCGCCTCAGAGTGACCTGGTCAGCCGGTTTCAGTATTGTTTTTTACTTAAACCACTAGTACCTTTCCCGCGTGGGAAAATAGGGAAAACTGGCTGTTTTCCCAAACTCCTAAAGATTCGGAGGCCGGGCCCGACGACGACTGCCATTGATAAATCGGTGGCCCACCAGAGGCCCGCTATTTTCCCAGGCGCCAGGGTGACCTGGGCCCTACTGGTTAGCTGGAAAGCCAGGATTTTCCCCGCACGTAGCCTGGTGGGGCCGAGACTGTTGTTTGTCACCTTTGGCCCCTTCACCTTTTCACACCCTGCCACCTTAGGGCCTTCTGGCCCTTCATCCGATCCGGGTACGCAGACTGTGGGTTTGCAACATTGCAAATGACACCTTTGTCCCAGTGGTACTGTTTTGTTAACATCCAGAACAATGGTTTTTCTGAATTGGGCATCCAATTTTATCCTGTTTCGGATGTTCTGATCTGGATGGACTTTGCAGTTTTCGTTGAAGTAGGTTTCATTCTCATTTGTGAAGTTCATAAATGATTCCAAACATTTCAGGGCCTCCCTGCACAACTCACGACATGCACAAAGACAAAACGTATGGCAGTGGATTTTCCCATGTTCTAGCGGAATATTCATTCTCATTTTGCACATTTGGTGAGCAGTGGAGCGAGGCCCTTTGTCCAAAAAGTACGACCTTTGGGAATAGAAGTGAAACTTTCGGATGTTTCAAATAGGAATGTTGTTTTTTCTGACTTCGAATTTTCATTCCACTGTCCATCTGCGCAAGGGGAGGAGGAAGAAGTAGAAGACAGGAGACAAGAGGTGAAGACCAAGGAACGAGAGAGGACAAGAACGAGGCGAAGAGAGGGGAAAGCTGCCTACTCGTTGAGCTGGAGGAGAGAGAGAGAGAGAGAGAGAGAGAGAGAGAGAGAGAGAGAGAGAGAGAGAGAGAGAGAGAGATTCATCTTTTTCGTTGATCGTTCTGTGTTCTGCTGCACCTGAAACAAGGTGTGTCTGGGTTCTTCTGTGCCTGTATTACTTAGTCTGCCACAATTTGGGAGAAACCTATTCTGTCTGCAAAGCGCTTGACTTGGAGACAAGAGGTGAAGACAAGGAACAAGAGAGAACAAGAAACCGGGGAAGAGAGGGGAAAGCTGCCTACTCATTGAGCTGGAAGCGAGGTCCCGTTGTGAGAATCAACATGAGGCAGCGGCAGGTGCGACCTGATGGCACGGATGGCTCAGATCACGAGTTCCGCATGGTTGTGGATGACCGGTATAAGCTGGCTGCTGCTGGTAAACTGCGTCTCAGGAAAGTAATTGTGTGTCAGTCCTTTTTCTACGGATTGAAGGGGATTTGGACGGCCTTGTGCATGCAGAGTAACAAATCGGGAATGGCTGATGTAAAACTTCCAGCTGCTATGGTGGAGGATAAGTTGCCGCTATCTCAGTTGGTGGCTGTTTTTGTTGGAGCAGCTGCTTTGCTGATAGGCACCTCAGGGATTCGATCGAGCAGCCGCATTGCCCTGCGGTTGTACATGTTGATGACATGTATTGCGGTCGTTTGCAGCGGCATTACTGTCAAAGAGGGGAAATACGCTGGCTTGGAAGACCCGATCAAGATCATCGCCATGGAATCATCAGACTCAAGAAGGTGGGCTGCTGTGCTCATTTTTGTGGATGCGCTTCTAGAAGCCTTTGGGATGATCGTACAGATATCAGGCATATTTGTGACCTTCTCTTTGTGTACCAACTTGGCACCGTCCAGGAGCAAGTAAAGCAGAACTGTTAAAAAAAAAAAAAAAAAACCAGAATTGTGAAAAACACACCAATGGTTACCACAATGCGCCTGCTGCGTGATAGGGGATCAACCTCTCCTCAGTGGTGTTTTCGTTCTTGTCTTTTTTCTCCTCCTCTTCTTCTTCCTCCTCCTCCTTCTCCTCCTATAAAACTTGGTGAGTGTACGTTGAGTCACTGAATGAATCGCATTGGCCAACTGCTCCCTTGTGTGTCCCTTGTCCCTCGTGTGACCAGTCTCTTTTTGCTGATCTTACTCCTTGCCTTGTGCTGTTGGTTCGTCGTCGGGTAAAGTGCATGCCACTGACCTTCATGCTGTAGAGTCTTTAGTCCTCTTCCCATAAAAAAACTTGTGTGAATCTACGTCTACTGGATGAATGAGTTGCATTGGCCAACTGCTCCCTTGCGTCCCTTCTCCATCGTGTGGCCTCTCTCTTTTTGTTGATCTTACTCCTTGCCTTGTGCTGTTGGTTCATCGTTGGGTAAAATGCATGCCACTGACCTTCATGCTGTAATCTTTGGTCTATGCGTCTCTAACTGGTCGACATTGTCTTGATGACATGATGAAAGAGGTCTTCAATGATATGCATTGGACTTCCACTGGCCCTGCATGATGATGGTCATTCTTCCTCCTGTGCATCCTCAATTTTGCACTTTCTGTGCACATCTCTGGCCCAAAATTACACACATGCCTCTCTACTGAGTCTCTAGTGAGGTCAGATTTCTTTATCACGCATGCTTGCTGACGACTGAATTGACATATGCAGAGTTCTCACCTGAACCTTCTAGCCCCATGTCTTGGTTATGCAAGTGCGATTCAGCTTTCGGTTGCTTTTCATCTTTTACTTCTTTTAGAGAGGGGTTCTTCTTCTTCTTCTTCTTCTTCTTCTTCTTCTTCTTCTTCTTCTTCTTCTTTAAGAAAAGAGGGGTTCTTCAGTGTATTGTTATCCAGGTTTGCCATCTGCAGATCACCTTATGCTAAGAAAATGTTCAGTTTTTCTATCCTGTGTATGCGTTCGTGTGAATCTGTGTGTGTGCTTGCAAGTATGTGTGCATGTGCTATTGGCACATTGACACCGTGTCCTGTCTCTTTTTCGCTCTCAGAGACATTTAAATCTTCACCCTCCTGCTCTTCGGCATATGCAATCACCGTATGCAAAAAGAACGCCAAGTTTCTCCTGCGTAGTGTCCATGTGAATCCGTGTGTGTGCTTGCAAGTATGTGTGCATGTGCGCTATTGGCACATTGATACCCTGCAATTACTCACAATATTTACATGCCGGATTGTGCAAAGTCCCAAGGAGGTCGTCTTCGATCTCAAGCAGAATGCACATTCCCTTCCTCGTTGATACCACGCGCAGCAGATTTTACCACAGTTGTATACTGCCCTGCTACTGACAGGATCCTTAATAATGCGCTAAACACTGTTCATGAAGGACATGATTATCCCCTTGGAGCTGATTCCACAGGATGGGAGGTCATCACAAATGCACACGGCAGTTGAGGGTCCTGATTGTGGGCACTGGGTTACTGCACATGACTCTGACACTCTTGCAGTGTCAGATAGCACAGCATCTGTGATTTATGGTCTCTATCAACTCATCGTTAGCGCCATCAGGTGGTCGACATCCAAATGGGTACTAACGATGTACCAGAAATTGAGGAATTGCCAATCTTGGGACGAGGGACAATTCATCGATGAACTTCTTCAGCATGATCTATGCGCAGTGCAAGATGCATTTACGTATCAGTCCATTGACAACACCCTCTCCTGGAATGATTTTTCGCCGCCTCTTGCTGGCTATGGTCTTGAGTGGAATGACACCGCTGAGCATGATGGTTCACGTCAGCTGACAGTTGACGACCTCTGGTAGTGAATGGGTAGAGCAGGGCCGCTGGTTGTGGATGTATGGAGGACTGTTACTCCCTATGCTCAGAATTCGCATTAGGCGATGGATGGGCAAGTGACCAGCGGACCATGTAGTGGAAGCACGTCAAAAGCCGGGCCCAGCGAACCGTGTGGTGGAACCACTTCAAAAGCCGGATGACATGAGTGGGAAGACGGCATTGCTGGCCACAGACACAGGCAGTCCAACCTCTAGACAGGGCACTGGGGATGGCCCCTAGTGAGCATATGCCGTATCAAGGAAGTCACTGCAGCTTTGAATTGGGCACTATTGTTCCAGATATGCTTGCACCTTGTCAGCTGTACGGTGAGCACACTAGTGGGTTGATGATTCGGGGCATTGGAGGAAGCGCTGGGATAGCATATGACTCGGCATGTCCAAACCTCAGCCACATTGAATATGTCAATGCAAAGCAAGCTGTCTCTGTGTCATCAGGCCAGTAGAAGACAACAAGAGAGGGGAGCTGCGTTGCGATTCGCACGATACCCCTGTACCATGGTTACGCCGGACCTGGACACTAGCCCAGTCCGGACGTCCGGCCGGACCTGTGTCTGGACTGCTCCAGACCATCAAGCACCCCCGCTAAAAAAAAAGGACTTTTAAATCTACATCTATCAGGCAAACTTTTTTTTTCTACGTCTACAATATTATAGAAACTCAAATTGCAGGCCGATCACCACCGCGGACGGCACGGATCTCAGGCTGATGAGCCTGAGATTTGGGCCGTCCATGGTGGTGATCAGCCTGCAATTCAGGCCGTTTGCAGGAAAAGATAGCGTTTGGTACCGGTTGGCCTCAAACGGCCCGCCCAGCCCTCGAACGGTCCACCCAGCCCTGGAATGGTCCGCCCAGCCCTCAAACGCCCACCCAGCCCACAAATGCACGCCCAGCCACCAGGCGGCCCGGCTGCCCACTTTTTTTTTTGGTTTTCGGTTGAAATCATCGAAGGTTTTCATGTAGGCAGCCGGTACATTACCCCGCCTACTCGATGCAGCGGGCTTTTTGACGCCTACTCAATGCGCTTATGGCTACTTGATGTGTACTCCCGTGCCTACTCCCGCCTACATGACGCCTACTCCCTTGCTTACTCCCGCCTACTCGATGTGCTACTCCCGTGCCTACTCGATGCCTACTCTCTCTCTCTCTCTCTCTCTCTCTCTCTCTCTCTCTCTCTCTCTCTCTCTCTCTCTCTCTCTCTCTCTCTCTCTCTCTCTCTTCAAAGCCCACCCCCCGCTTTGGTGCTTCGTGGTCTGTGAGTCGGTGCTTTGTGGTATGTGCTTCTGTGTTCAACGTAAAGTCGGTGCTTAGTGCGTGGTGAATTCGGTGCCACGGAGCTTCTTCGATCGGTGCCTCGTGCGCATGGTTCGTGGACCAGTGATCCATGCTACGTGGTGCGCCGTGCTCTGTCCTCCGTGCTTCATGCTTTGGTGTGATGTGGTACATGAGCTTGATACATGCTGTCACTCACTCTCTCTTACTCTCCTCTCCTCTCCCTCTCTCTCCTTTCTGCTATGTGGTGAATTTGGTGCATGGTGGTTTGATGGTGAATTCAGTGGTTGCTGCTTCGATGGTGAATTCGGTGCTTGGTGCTTGGTACTTGGGGGATTCAATCGGTGCTTGGTGCGACGTGGTACATGAGCTTGATACATGCTGTAACTCTTTCTATTTCTCTCTCACTCTCCTCCTCTCCTCTTTTCTCCTCTTCTCTCCCTCTCTCTTCTCTCTGCTACATGGTGAATTCGGTGCATGGTGGTCCGATTGGTGCATGGTTCTTGCGGATTCGATTGGTGCTTGGTGCAACGTGGTACACTCTCCTTGATACATGCGACACAGATTCAATCGGTGCTTGGTGCGACGTGGTAAATTTGGTGCATGGTGGTCGATCGGTTCTTCGTGGTTGGTGATTGGTGGTTCGATCTGTGCTTGGTACTCTCTCCGCCTCTCCCTCCCCCTCTCTGTTACGTGATGAATTTGATCGTTGCTTGGCGCATCGTGTGTGTTGAATTCGGTGCTTGGTGCGCGGTGAATTCAGTGCTTGGTGCGTGGTGAATTCGGTGCTTGGCGCGTGGTGATTTTGGTGCATGGTGGATTTGGTGCATGGTGGATTCGGTGCGTGGTTCTTCTTCTGTGCTTGGTGCGTGATGAATTCGGTGCTTGGTGCGTGATGAATTTGGTGCTTGGTGGTTGGTGGATTCAGTGTTTCGTTGTTCGTGGGTAGGTTCTCCAGGCCACGTGGTGCTCCATGCTCCGTGCTTCATGCTTTGGTGTGATGTGGTACATGAGCTTGATACATGGTGTCACTCTCTCTCTCACTCTCCTCTCTCTCCCACACTCCTCTCTCTCTCACTCTCCTCTCCTCTACCTCTCTCTTCTTTCTCCTACGCGGTACGTGAGCTTGGCGGTTCCAGGTCCTTCATTCTTTGTGAACTTGGTACTTCATGCTTCATGAATCGGTGCTCCGTGAATTGGTGAATTGGTGAATCGGTGGTTCGTGCGGTGATCGTGAGTTTGTGCGGTGATCGTGAGTTCGTGCGGTGATAGTGAGTTCGTGCTAAGTGCTTTGATGTGAGCTTCCACATGGATTCCGGATACGTTGTTGATTGGAGGCTTCGCCAACATGGCTGACTCGAGTGCATGTTTCTGCCTCACCTCGGACCCACACCCAAACCCCTTCTTGGAAAACAAAAACAAAGTAGCCTTGCATTACGTCTCCTTTTTTGGGAAGGAGGTAGATAATGTGGGAATGGAGGTCGCCGCAGTGAAGCGGGTCAGGCTATGGGGAGGAGCACTTCAATGCTAACCATCTCCGTTTCGAGCATGAAGCAGATGAAGGGATGACGACGGGGAAACAGAGGGAAAAGGAGGGGAAAACGGAGGTGAACGGAGAGTAATGGTGGGAACGGGGGGAAATGGTAGGAAAATGGAGGGTAACAGCGGGGAAATGGAGCAGAGGAAGGGACAGTAGGCAGGAGAACGGAGCGAAACGGTGGGGAAACAGAGGGAAACGGAAGGAAAATGGACAGAACCGATGGGAAAACGGAGGCAAACGGGGGGAAATGGCGGGAGAACGCAGGGAAATGGTGGGAAAATGGAGCAGAGGAAGGGGCAGTAGGCAGAAAAATGGAGCCGAACGGTGGGCACAATGGAGGGAAACGCTGGGAAAATGGATGGAAACGTTGGAAAACTGGACAGAAATGGTGGAAAAACGGAGGTAAACGGAGGTAAACAGAGAGAAATTGTGGGAAAAGAGGGAAATGGTGGAAAAACGGGGGATGGCGGGGGGGAAACGAAAA